GAAGCCAGCTCCTGCTTNTAGGGTCAAATCTAAACATATGTATTATACATACAGGTCATATCTGAACCAACAGCATCAAAGTGTTTCGCTGAAAGTATTACGTCTGGACATGAGTTTCTGAAATCTTTCAAAAAGGAACTACAACTCATGATGATCCCGAACCTTGTTACAGGTGAGAGGAATACTTCGCTTCCCCAGTAAAGTCTCACGATCCCCCACCAGGTCGATCCGGCCATTTGCAATGAGATGTGTATAGATGCACGTGCTTTCAGCCGCTGGACTCTGAACTGTCTTCGAAAATGGCGGAACGATCCTCTGAAGGGAGTCAAGAACCATTTACTCCCTGTTCTGTCCGCGGAAGGATAACCAGCTATGCCGAGCGACCGACTTTTTTGTGGCTGAGCGCATGGCTCCAGAGTAACGAGGCCACAGGATAAGACCCCTGATTTATGCGAAACTTTCGCTTTTTTTGAAACACTTTACATGAGTCCCAGAAACACTTCTATTTAGCTAAACCATCTGATTCTCCGATTACTTAACAGAACCACAAGAACTTCACTTTTTATGCAAGATGGATCGAATTTCTCCTGACAAAATTCCTAAAAAGGAACCAGAAATGGGGATTGCCCTTACTGTTGCCGAATAATCGGCAATTTAGGTGAATTCGCTGAAAAGAAGTATGTTTGGGACTCAAGCCAATGTTTCAAAAAAAAGCAAAAGCTTGCATGAGTCAAGGATTCCATCATGTGACTTCGTTCATCTGGAGCAATGCAGTTGTCCCCTGAACCACCTACTGCAAAGACGGTCATCTTTCCGAACCTACGTGGAGAGAGAGCAGAGGATCAGTGGGCCGTAGTTCACTGAGAAATCGTTTGGCAAATTTCAAGGGCAGATTTGAGTTCAGCGGCTCAACTCGGAGACACGTCCATCTATACATTTCCCATTGCAAATTGCCTTATAGACCTGTTGGTTGTCAGAACAAGTTTGCACGAGAAGAGTACAGGAGGGTATGCGCGCGCCTGAGCGCACGCCAAATCATAGCCAAACGCGATACTTGCCAGCGCTCTCGCATTTGTTCTTATTCTTATTCTTATTTCAGCGATTATCCCGCTCTGCAGTAGGGTCCGCTCGTCTCACTTTAGGCTGCGTTTATACTTTGCGGCAGCGTAGCGTAGCGCTTCCAGCGTACGCCAGCGGCAGTGCCGGGGAGAGGATGGATATCGATCTGGCGTTCCCAGCGTCACCAGCGTTACGCCAGAGTTTCGCCAGCGTTTTGCTGGTGTTTGCAGCGGCAGGGGAGTAGAGACTATGTGGCCGTCAGGGACGCGCAGTCGATGTGTATTGTAGAGACTATGTGGCCGTCAGAGACGCACAATCGATGTGTGTATAGACACTGAGGGCGAGTGAGAGACGCGCAATTGATGTGCTTCGTACCCTCCCATAGTCTCTACTCCCCTGCCGCTGCAAACGTAGCAAAACGGTGGTGAATTGCTGGCGAAACGCTGGCGTAACGCTAGCGTGCGCTAAGGCTGCGCTTATAACCTTTGCGGCAGCGTAGCCGTGCCGCAGCCCAGTTCAGCTGTTTGGAAAGTATAGCTATAGCGCTTTCCCAAGCTGTCGACTGTTACTTGACGAGAGCAGTTTGCGGCCCGAAGAAACAGAAATTGCTATATCGAATCGGTTAGCTTCTATCACTGCCGCTTGCAGCCTCATTAGCAGTCGCTCGACGTCTGAAGAGCAGAGAGTACTGTTCTCAGCGATAAGAGCTGTTTGCTCGCTAAGCCGAGCAAACGAAATTCCCTGCGATGGAGACATTCACAAGTAGAGCGGAACCACCCAATCTCCTGAAAAGGCACTCGGAGTACGGTTTCTCTCAACATCTTCATTAGCGAACGGAGTAGAGCATAATCTGAAGACAAACTTTGACATCTGTGATCTCGCTATAGAATTTAATCTGACTCTATAAGTCTCCTATCAAGTCTGATTCTCATATCTGTTTTCTCGACTATTCTAACATTCGAAAGGGATCATTATTCCCCAAGTTTTGTTGCTATTAACGAGTCCATTTCACTGTAACGTTTTTAAGCGAGCATTGTTTATCTCCCATGTAACAAGGCGCCTGGCTTAAGTTAGAACGCATCTTCTTGTCCCTGGATTTCTCGCTGGAACTTATTGTTTGAATAAAGAGGCTCACCAAGCCAGCGACTGGAGGGCGAAGGCATGAGGTGTGTGGTCGAGATATAGACGATCGTTTCAGGCAGTGGGAGCGTGATTACGCGTTAGGAAAGGTCGGTGTGTGGCTCTGCTCCTGAGTTACTAGGGGGCGATGGAAGCAGTATTATCCTCCGGCTCACGCGGTACTGCACACCGCGCCTACGCGGACTACTAGTGACACGAACGCGTACAAATCTGCGGCAATACATCGAGCGGAGTCGTCGTTCAACAGAAATTTTATGAGTGATGCAGGGGGCGGTGGAGCGGAGTTGTGAATCCGCTCTTTTTTTCTGGGTACTGGAAGTTTTTCCGGCCGTAATTCGGATGGGCCCGTAGAGGAAACGTGCCGACAGTGACCATCATTCCTGACCGGTGCCGGAACGATAAGTAGGACTCGAGACTCGTCCCCCTGATGATCCATCGAACGTGAAAAAAAAATCGTCCATTGACCTTTTCGTATAAGGCTGAGACGAAGTGTTTAACAACCTGATTATATATAATCAAGAGCCAGCGGCGACCTGAACGTAGCATGCCGATTTGGCTGATGAAACGACATTAGCGAGCAATAAAGCAGAAAGGGTCCACGATAATAAAGAGCGCGTGGGGCAAGGGCGAGGCACGGCGCACATTATCTCGACCGGGGGACGCGTTTGTCTAAAGCAACTGCTGGCCCAGCCCTGCGCGGAAGGCATGATGATGCCCTTGCAAGAGCAAATTTCCACCAAATAACTTTGCTTCTCGCCACCTTTGCCGAAATGCATTGAAAGTACCAAAAGGCCCTTCCGAGGAAGCCAGTGGGATTGGGAGCGTTTAAGAAAAACTAGAGAGCCCACGCTAGCAGAGCACTGGTACGTGAGGAGAGTACTTTGTAACTCCTCCGTCCAGTGCTCTCTAGGTCTCTCTAGCCCCTCTCTAGCCCCGCCGCTGGGAGCGCTGGGAAAACGCTGGAGAAACGCTGGTGAAGCTAGATCGATAGCTATGCTTCCCATGCCGCTGGCGTACGCTGGAAGCGCTACGCTACGCTGCCGCAAAGTATAAACGCAGCCTAACGATTCACCACCGCTGTTGACGCTGGGAACGCTAGATCGATATTCATCCTCTCCACGGCACTGCCGCTGGCGTACGCTGGAAGCGCTACGCTACGCTGGCGCAAAGTATAAACGCAGCCTTACTACGTCTCTTCTGGTAGGATGCCTGATCAGGGTGGGCGCCAACTATCTTAGAATCAGCATGCAGTGTGTCTAGCCAGCGTTGCTTGGGACGTCTTCTAGGTCGTTTGCCGAGCATCTCAAGCTGGGAGGCGGTGGGCGCGTTCGCGCGGAGTACGTGACTATACCACTAATACGAGACTCTCGCATTTTGTCAACTATAGAAGCCACGCCGAATTTCTTGGTCTTCTATGCATGTGCGTGACTCTAACTGCCCAACGTAGCATTTTCATCTCCATCACGCTAGGGAGGGCTTTCACTTCCCTGATTACAGGCCAGCACTCAGTTTTGTACAACGCTACTGTTCTGAAACAGTTCTATAGACCCTTGATCCAAGGCGTTTTGGTATGGTCTTTTCACAGAGAATTCCAGTCATCGAGGGCCATTTCGCCCATGCTGCACTCACACGAGAAACCAACTGTGACTTCAGACTGCCATTAAACACAATGTCTGATCCAAGTTACTTGGAGGCTCTCATGCGTGTGAGCTCGATGCCACTGAACCTAATGGAATCAGATTCTTTAGTGTCCGTCGTCAAGTACATGGTTCTCTTAACGTTAAACCTCAGTCCAATTCTGTCAGGCGATCAGACCAAGCTTGCACCTGCTGCTCGAGTTTGCACTTATCTTCACTGGCAAGCACCATATCATCTCCGTAGTGCAATGTCCAAGGACTTGGTTTTTCTGGAGATCTCGCGGAATTGTATTCATGACAACCACACAAAGGAGAGGGGTTGAGCGCAGATCCTTAATATGCCCTGATCATGATAGAAAATTCCTGCGGAATGCGTTGGTGCTTGCACACGGCTCTTCGGGATGGAATAGTGGATGCGCACCCACTCAATAAGCTCTTCACGAATGGATATGGCATATTGAACATGGGTTATGAGACTTTGTTATTCGTAAGCCGGCCCGTCACTCAGGCCTGTCACCTGCTTTCGAATGTCCGTGTTTGGCTCAGCACACAAAAGCGAGCAGTTGGCAGAGACACCCACATGAAGGTGCAGACTTCACCACCGGCGCCACTTCTGTCTTCTATAAATCTCCGACTTTGTGTTTGCTGCGTGGGTGTGATATCGACACAATAGCTGCATCTTGGTGGTGTGTGCGTCCGAACGGCACTCTTGTATCCTCCCTTCGTTCCTGATACCATGCGCTTTCAAACGACAAGAGTTTCTTTCGTACTGAAGCCCTCCCGAATTTCTCGCATCTCGCATAGAACGGTCTCTGGGGTGAGTGTAGTTTGTGCTTGAAACGCCACACCCTACCAAGAATATTACAGCAAAATCACGCCAAGGAAGCTGTGCCTACATCGACTTCGCAGCTATATTCGGAAGGTGGAAGATTCCGACAGTAGGGTGCAAAAAGCTTTCTTAACTCAAATTCACTGTGTCATAGCTCAACGCAGCGTTCAGTCCGCAGGTGCCGACTGCTACTGATCGCCTAATGCTAGAAAGCAAAGATTTCCTTTGGGGCAAAGTAAGGCGAATACGGCGTTTCTCTCTTATTGTAAGAGGAGGGTGTGGCGCAAAATTTGCCATGGAACCATGTTCAGTCGCGACAACAGCGCGCCCAACCTCGACAGTCGTTTACACACATCACACAGACATCACCTCAAGACACACACACCAGCCCACATACGCTCGCACACACACCTCACACACACGCACACAACCACACACACACACACACACACACACACACACACACAACACACTACACACACCACACCACACACACACACACCACACACACACACTACACACAAATCACACACGACCACACACTCCATGGAAGCATACATCAGAATGCAATTAGAACCAGATGACACGATTAATCCTGGAGACGTGTAGAATAAAGCAGGACAGAATTCGGAGCCATTCAACAGGCGCTGCGTGACGCCTTCTCCAAAGAAGGTGCTCTTATAGCCCCTACCAAGCTGCAACATACCAACCCAGACGCCCACCGCGTCCGCTCCCACAAGTGGACGGCCGTACCTGGTGCTCGTGTCGCTTCCTTTTTGGTATACATTTTAGTGAAGGGATATAAAGCGGCTGCAGTAAGCACGGATATAACGTCCTCATCATTGCGGACCGGTGGGGCGTGTCAGTCAGTATGAGTGTGCACACTGTTGAGGCCTTTCTCAGCCTTTTTGTTGAAACGCGTATGTGACAAAAAGTGGTAGAAAACGAGTAACGCGAAGGATATAGTACAGTAATGTCACCTGCCCGCTTCAACAACTGGTGCAGATCGACTTTGGCACCGCGCCAAACGCAGCCGCACTGACACGCCCCACTGGTCCGCAATGATGAGCACTGTATAAATAGACGCATGCAACAGTATGGACCGGCACGACGTCATTGGGGAACTTGCTTTAAACTGTTTTCTAAGTAGTGTAGAACAAGAGATTCTACAGGCTCTTTATCGTTTCACTCCGCTTTGTCGCCATTCCCGCACTATAAAGCACATTCGCTACCATTTTCAACTGAATCTGACCTCATAAATCTCGCACTGGGTAACTTGAGGTGAACTGTAAATCACAAGTTACACTGCCTTCTGCTCCGGTACTTTCCGAGGTAGTCACCCTCCAAGCTCAGCAGAAATTGTGCATCCCAGAGTACCCCTGGACTGATCCGTGTCTGGTCTTGGTTCTATGGACAAGGCGACCGCAAAAAACCTTACTGTATGGGTAAAATTACCAGGAGGGCATTTGTGAGAACTCACCGGCGCAACGGGCTCAACAGGTGTTACCGGCATGGAACGCACAACTTCCTTAATAAAAAATTCGATAAAAAGATCTCCTTGTGACCAAAAAATACTGTCATTGGGGTGTGAAAGAAAGTACCTCAAGAGCGTTGTTCATCGAGCTCAGGCGTCCGCTCCTTTCATCTCTGTTGCTGTCATCATCGATCAGCCTCTGTAAAAGTGGTGATGCAATAAGTCAAAAAAGTTATAACAATATTTATAGCAACACATCAACTTGATGAAGGACAGCACACATGAATACAAGAGGTGCGACAGAGCGCTTCAGAATGTCCAGAACAGTATAGCGATTTTGTCATCAGCAGAACTATGAACTCCATAGTAACAGAAGGAGGTGATAGAAGGGTGGCATCGTCACGGAATCCAATGAAGGAATCAGCTTGAAGAGGCAATAAGAATCATCACCCACTATATATAATTTGCTTCGTCTGTTTGCTTGGTTGTTTGTTTGCTTGTTTGTTTGTCTGTCTGTTCGGAAATTCGATTGAAGCTGAAGAAAAACTTGGTGTTCGGTTCAAGGTGGGGATGGGTATGGCTTGGGAGAAGATGTAGAGAGCACACATGACCTATTACCAGGATGGTCGTTGTGAGAACTCACCGGCACAACAAGCTCAACAGCTGTTACCGGCGT